GAAGACTGAGCCTGCCGCCATCTATATGTTGTAGAAAGAATACCAACCTAAAACCGAAACTGGCGCCTTGCTGTTCAGAGTGATGGGTGGGAATGCGAGAGTGCAGTCGCTACCAAAGTTTATCTACAAACGTTGGTCGCTGCAGCCTCTAGTTTATAGTTGCGATGACTTCAAGCAACTCGGCTGTCATAGAGATAGTTACAGACGGTGTAAATTTCCGCAAACAGCTGTCCACAAAGCAGCTGGTTGCGATCTTTCAATTCTCATAACCGTTTACACTGAAGAAAACTGATGATGCTGTCCGAGCAGAAGCTTGATCCGTTTGAGCATGGCATTATGCGTGGAGACCACTGAAAGGGTGCGGCTTAAAACTAGTCTGCTGGAATGTCCAGCAAACATTTTCGTGCGACTTTCGATTTCGATTGTCATTACAGGTGGATCAGATATTAGCCTTGGTCAGGGTGTCGAGAACGAGAGCTTTCTCGAACAAAATATGATGGGGCAAGTTAGCTGACGTAGGTAAATGTTAAACATGATGATGTTTTCCAAGCCTCGGGTAAAATCACTATGTTTAGCTTTCTCTGATGCTTATTGGGCAGTCAAAGGTTTCTGCTGGGGGAGTTTCGTCGAAAAATGTTCAATTTCTAAACCCGCACACGTAACGTTGTGCGGTGACGACGTTGCTGATAACCATCTCGGGGGCCGCTTATGCGTTTGTTCTGAGCATTTCTTTACACACTGGTATATTTCAGCGTTTTTATGCCAACAGAGCGACTTAAAATCTCCAAATAAAGCACGGTTTGTTAACTGCTTCCTTCATGAAATAGGAGACGCTCACAGTTTAAGCTCGCATTTGATTCCGTTACCCGCAGGACGCAATTTCTATCAGAAAATCGACTTTTTTTTTCGTTCAGTTCCGCGACACATCATAGCAGACAAACTTTCGTCGTCTGCTCCCGCTCCTCGCCGGCTTCGCCGGAGCGAGGCATGACGGGATTGCATTTTGGCGCTCTCTCGATTTTCTCGGTGCAGCGAGTGTATGCACGCGAGGGGTGTCAGCGATGAAACGAACTCGAAGAGTGCAACCACTCGTGGAGCGCCGGCTGAAACGAACCCGCTCCACGCCGCGAGTGGACACGCGTGGGCACGAGTGCCATGAAACGAACTTGCTATCAGCTTCTTCAGTGCAACCCGGTTGAGACCTCGATGACCAAAATCGGGCTCCCGGTGAGATGGAATGGCAAACTGAGAATGATTTCATGGCCAGGGGCCAAACAAATACCAGGTGCATTGTATGGTGAGAGTATTAGCACCGAGAAGTTTGGGTGGCGACCCCTTACGGCGAGCCGGGGTGACGTCATGCTGAGGACAAAATTTATCCCCTCACTCGCCCTGCAAAGGCTGAGACAGCGTTAGCTGTCGGCATACTAGTTTCTGTTTGTTTTTTGTTTTTGTGCGCGTTTTACGTAGGAAATATGAATTATTATATGCGGCCTTATTGAGGTATGGTCTGTAGCTGCAGGCGAAAGTTCAACCAACATTCCGAGCATGGTTTCCAGGGCAGACAGTGCATGAATCACAGCTGGTATATGAATAGGAAGGAACGCCACCACACTTGTAGGAGCATTGCAATATATTTACATCTCACACAATCAACGCTGCTGATGATTTGAATAAATTAAGAGGTTTTTTCATCTTTGTTTCTAAGCAAAAACGTCTCAGCGAAAAAGCTGCACTCTGCTCGAGCAACATGTTAAATACATTCTGGGCCATGGAGAGAAAATCAAAAGTGAGACCGCCCAAAGGCCTTTGACTTAAATGCCATTTGTATGCCCGCAAAGCGGGGTCTGATGTTCTCCTAACTCATGAACCTGCAAAGAACAGAATTTAAGTGTCTGAAACACACCGCCGCTTCCGCAACCCCTTGCACAATCGCCCTATATCGTGTGGAGGGGGCGGGGGGGTTCATCGACAGAATTGCCTCCACCGATACCTTTCCATACTTATAACCCAATTATAAAGGTAAACGTGACAAACACAGTTTGAAAAGATATGAAAATTCTGTTGGCATAAGTCTCACCCAGCGTCTTGTACACTGGGTAAACGAAGCCCCGCTTCTCAACGTACTTACAGCACACAACGGCCGATGTTGACAGTGCCTTTCCCATCCTTAGTCTGACTGTCCATGCTTTCTTTAATCTCAAAGTTTTCGGGTGGTAAAATTTGATACCGGCTTCTTTTTGAAAATTGCATTGCAGCGCTGAACAGTAGGTCAGCATGATCACAAACCTCCGATCGTGAGGAAACCGGCACAGGGAACCGAGCCAGATGCCAGAGCGCAAAGCGGAGTCCGTCGCCAGACGTCACGGTACACCTCACCCAATCAAGACGTGGCGACCACAGCGACACTTGTGTTTGCTCTGAAGACTAATAGTACGCCGTGCAAGCAATACCACTGATCTCCACGACAATTTGCTGTATCGCGCGCCTCCGCTTGGTCGTTCCAGCTCAGGTGCGGCCACCGGATGGCCACCTTGGGACACAGATTATCAGTCAACCTTTTCGAGCATTGCGGAGGCTGTGCGGCAGTGAGCTGAAGACACGTTTTCTGCTCGTTCGTTGTCATTTATCGAAAAAGTTTGTTAAAATCATGAACGGTGAGAATTGCGTTTGAGAACACGTGGAAATTTTTACGAAAGCTCAGCACCGCAAGAAAAAGGAGCAACTCGTCTAACGCAAGTCTCGCCGTTCTGGCGGCATGATCAAAGCTTCCTTGGCATGCCAAAGTGCTGCATCTCTGTCTTCGCATGCTTGAATACCGATCAAGAATTAACGCCGTGTGGATTTGTTTCGTGAGTGCAACGTGTATGAAGATGCATGTGCCTCTGGAGCAGCATTTTACTTTACTCTTACGACTGTATTTGTAACTTGCGGCATTTGCAGTCCAGAAACGAGCATGATCCAGTGGCGACAAAGGAGGGGTAGGAGGCTATGGCGACGGCGACAGATTGCACACAACCATATGGACGGGCCACGTTTGAAAAACTTTCGATCTTGCCGCTTCATACTTTTGCCTTCAAAAACCTACTTTCCTCCACAGCCTTTATCTATTTGTGCTGTCATGTGATCCATTTGAGTAGATTTGGAACATAGCCATGGTTAATACATAATAGCAACCACCGATTTCGTCTCCTATTGATAGCAACTCGCTGGAACAGCTGGATGATAGAGAAGACGTCTACGTGCGAAATACCTTCAAAACTCTGCCATGGCATCGATTTTTGATAAGTATCCAAGCGTGAAAAGGCACAGAGACGCAGCAGTTTGGCAGGCCAAGGAAGCTTTGATCACGCCGCAAGACCGGCGAGACTTGCGTTCGACAAGTTGTGCCTTTTTCCTGCGGTGCTGCATTTTTGCAAAAAATTTCATGTGTTTTCAAAGGAAATTTTTATTGTTTACACATTGCGAGCGTTTGGCACTCTTTTCACTAAACAGACGGGAGCGCCGCCGGAGACTGACACTCGAGCGCGCTCTTCGTGCTCCGAGCATTTCTTGGGGCACAAGTGACTTCTTCGCGCCCCGTGATGTCACGTCCACTAACAAGATGGCTGTGCTATTGTTGAGATTGTTGAAACGAAAGGCGTAGCTGGACAGCTGCTCCTTTTCAGCCAATTAGTGCTTAATCCAGCTGGTAAAGACAATTTGATTTGAAAGCCAAGACAGCAATTAGCATTCCGGAAAAAGTTTGTTCGTGCATCTTGCCTGAAAACGAATTCATCCATCAAACGGTAGCGTGCCGATAGCACAGCGACAGAAAAGTTGTTGAGATGAGGACACATTCGGACTGCTGCCCCTTTTATAATGCTGAGCCCAGCGAATGAAATACTGCGATGGGAAAGCCGAAACATCAGTTAGCGTTGAGGAAAAGGTTTGTTCATGCGTCTTGCCTGAAAACAAAGTGATCTATCGAACGAGCGTGCTGATAGCTCGGCGGCAGAAAAGTTGCCGAGAAGACAGTGGGACGGCTGCCCTTTTTAAAAGGCTTAGTCCAGCTGCAGCGAATAAAGATACTTAGATTGGAACGCCGAAGCATCAGTTAGCATTGCGGGAAAGGTTTGTTCATGCATCTCGCCTGAAAACAAATTCATCTATTGAACGGTAGGTTACCGACAGCACAGCGACAGAAAAGTTGTTGAGATGAGAAGACAGTCGGACCGCTGCCCTTTCTAGGATGCTTTGCCCAGAGAATCAAGATACTTCGAATGGAAAGCCGAAACATGTTCATGTCTCGCCTGAAACAAATTGACGTGCTATCTATTGAACGATGGTGTTCCGGTATCGGCATAGCACATCAACAGCTTCCGTCCAATTCCGTCTCGCTGCAATACGGAACCACGAAATATCTGGCAAGTTTGAGGGTTTCGTGCGTCGACAAGCGGGTTCAAGAATGTTGTCTTTGATTTTAAGGGCCCATGAAACAATTTTATAGTTAAAGGAATCCGGAGCTTGTCAGTTTGATTTAGTTTACCTTGGCCAAAGTAACCGAGAACACGCCCTGATCGATTGAAATGTCGTGAGTGCGCTGCGTAATCGCAATAAAAAGAACGGACTATTTGCCGATCTTTTCGCCGATCTGTGGCAGCGCTCTGGGGCGGCCGTGGGGACGGTGGGAACTAAACGTGACGTCAGTTTGGATCTGTGTATTTAGTTCGCAAGTTGAGCAAGTATATGCTCAATTTGAGGCTAAGTTTTAGAAATTTTGTCATTCGAACGTGAATAAATGCTTCAAAAGCCTCATATTATTATATTTTATAACACAAAGTTTTAGTGGCGCCATCTATGCAAGGTGCTGCACACCTGCCTTTGCACCCGCTACCGACTGGCGATCCCGAGCGTGACGAGCAGGTGCGAGCATCGAGCACGTTTCTTGCGGTTTTGCCTACGCTTGAATTTTCTCGCTCGCCTGCTTGCCTGGCCACTGGCCACCGCGAACATCAGCGATGCCGGCTGGCTGCGGTGTTCCTCTGTGTCCCAACCGGAACTTCAAAAGTGCTGTGGTTCGACGTAAGAACCTCCAGTTTCACTGCCTACCGCGCGAGGAACCCCTCCGAAGTGCGTGGTGCCGGAGCATCGGAAAGGAGAACTGTGAAATGGCAGACCTGCGCTTTTGCTCGGAGCATTTCGACGGCAATCAGGACTACCTTCGGATATCGAGTGTCCTGCGCGATACTGGACAAACGATGAGGCACGTTCGCCTGAAGCCCGGTGCGGTGCCTTCGCTCCGACTGCCCCCCTTCGCGATGACCACCCCAGCGAAGGAGCCTGCGTCCAAACGCCCAAGAATCCTGGTAAGTGGCGCTCTTGTTTCAGTGAGAGATCGACTTTCAAGAACTTTTTCGAGTCGACGTTTGACGAAAATATTCCGTTTTCCAGGGCGACGAGCCGACTGAGGACGTCGGCTGCTCCGAGGGCAATGCGCCCCGTGAGCACTGGTGCTCTTGCGGTCCCCGACCGGCCTCTCGTAACGCAGCTGTTCAGGCCGACCTGGATCAAGTGCAAGTGGCCCCTATGCTCCCTGCCAGGGAGGACAAGGCTGTGGGAACGGATCCTCGGCTGGGAAAGAAGTCTGTCGGTAAGCATAGGAATAGGGCTGCTTTCAAAATATTCCCGTCCTAAATTCTATACAATTTGTGTTGGCCTCGATCGCCATGAAGATTGGAGCCATACTGAGCCAATTTATGATTTATCATTGGTACTACAAACAAGCTAGATATCTAAAGCAGTTACTTATAATTTACATTCTAGAACAAAGACAAGTTGTGTATGCAAAGCCTTGCATACTCTATTGAACGAAAAGTCCTGCTGAGAAATGTAGTTTCTGCAGAGCCCAGTTTTCTTGAAGCTTGTCCTAACTCCTGAGTCAGTCTCGGTGCAAATAAAAAATTGTTATTACTATTATTACAATGAGGAATCTGATATCTAAGTGTTTTTCCCTTTTAGGCACGCAAGGAGATTCTTATGCACGAGGGATCACGAGTCATGGGGTGCAGACTGAAGAGCTACTTGGCAGTAGTAGCAACGCTGACAACACCACAAGTGTCACCAGCAGCACCAGTGCCACCAGTGCTGCAAGCACCAGCAGCGCTGCCAGCACCGCCAGCATTGCCAGCAGCGCCAGCACCTCTTCAGTGGCACCAGAGGAACCTGTCCCGGCACCTGCCACTCCTATATCCTTGGAGGCGGCCGACAGCCCAGAATCAACTGATCTCGAGGACAGCAGCGATCCTCCCTACGTGCCATCCAACGAGTGGAGCTTTGTCGAGTGTGAATTATGCTTTCCTACCTGGGTAGAACAGGCTAGATCAGGGGTGGCCAGGCCAACCCGGCCTAAGAGCCGCAAGCAAAACCACGGAAGTTCCAAGAGCCGCATCGAAGAGGAAAGGCAGAAAAGAAAAGGGGGGGGGGGGGGGGGGAACTTTTGTCCAGAGCAATAGACGAAATTCAAACTACCTTCAATGTATCCGAGTCAAAAGCAATCCAACTGTGTGTAAGGTAGCAGTAGCACAAGACTACCAAACCGCAACCTCTCTTTCGATTTAAAACATGTTCCATTTCTCTTTTTAGGGAAGTGCTTGTGTGACTGGGAGGGAGACGGGGGGGGGGGAAGGGAAGGGAAGGGAAGGGGAGGGGAGGGGAGGGGAGAGAGGTGGAGGGACACGCGCAGAGTTGCATGCGGCTTGGGAGCCAATGTTTGGCCACCCCTGGGCTAGATAGTGACTAAGAAAATAGGATGTGTGATGCACAACTTGAATCAGTATCAGGAAAGCCCTGGTAACTACAGTGCATCCCACCTGCATAGACCTACTTCATCAATTCACAAGTGTAAACACAAAAATTAATTAAATTTTATGCAGGGCTTGTCCCAGTAAATTTTCCTGCCACAGGTGACCCTAACGGTAATTTAGGGGAAGAAAAGCTATTGAGAAACTGAAAAGCCTTAGAGGAAAATCAGCTCAGGCCAATTCAAACTTTTATTTTTTTACAGTTCAAATAGACATAGTTGGCATGTTTAGACCGAACACATTTTGATGCGTAGCTTGCTGCAATAGATGACACCGTCAGTCGTTCGTGCTTGCCAATGGCGTCTTTAAACAGATGTCTCTGCCTCGCGTTCTTCACACAGCAGCTGTTTGGGTGGATGTTCGCTAGTCTTAGACCCGTCTCTGTCGACATTGGATTTTGTGTAAGCTGTCTGTGCCACCCCTTGAACAGCTAGAATAATTGCAATGCCTTTTTAAACACTCGGCAGACACCTTGCCCGATCCTAATCGTTCCCTCGTAGTGTGGGCAGTTATTTTTGCAGAGAAGCAATTGCATGTTAGCTAGGTCACTAGTAAATTTTGAATACTAATTATTAATACATTTTCCAGGGATCACATCGTTACCAACGACGTGCCTCTACACGAGGAGCGAAAGTTCCTCGTGTTCGAAAGCTCCTTGAGGGAACTCTTCACAACGTGCAAGACCTGCTATGCCCCCTGCAAGGTTTCTACAGTGGTGAATGCCACACGCCTCACGGTGCGCACCCATTGCCCTGATGAGCATGTCCATGTGTGGGACAGCATGCCGTGCATCAACGGCAGAGCTGCTGGCGCCCTGCTCCTGTCAGCAGCCATCCTGTTCACGGGGGCATCACCAGCCAAGACACTGCGGGTGCTTGACCTGATGAACGTGGAGGTCTTCTCCGAGAAGACCTTCTACAATTATCAGCGAACGGTCTTGCTCCAAGCAGTTGCACAGGTGATAATCACGTTACTCTTAATTTTTTCCTTGTATTTTTTTTTTGTGCAGCGTTCCTTTGCATTGTTTATGGCAGTGTCAAGCATTCCAATATTTCTTGCCACAGGTGTGGGCAGATGAGCAGGGGCACCTAATGGACAAGCTCCGTGACCAGCCCCTGGACCTCGCTGGTGATGGGAGATGTGACTCCCCTGGCTTCAGCGCGAAGTACTTGACGTACTCCCTGTACGCGGCCCACGCAAACAAGATCCTGCACTTCGAGCAGATACAGTTGGAGAGGTGAGGAAGCGACAAAACCACCTCATTGTAGAAGCCCATTTTAAACTGGTAATATTGTAAAACAATACTAGTGCACTGTGATATACACTCCAGTTTTGACACCTATGACATATGACCAGGAAAGTTCGATCCATGCTCCTCTGGCACTTTGCAGGGTGTCACATTTTTGGTCTAACCAGAAAAAAAAAAAGAAAAAAAAGCAGATTTGCAGTTATTTCTCTAATTTGGATTTATCTGGGAAAATCTAAATTTTATGTTTAGTATTAGGGTTATTGCAGATTTGGCAGCACAGATTTCGTGTCCTTTTCATTAGTGTTAGACTGTTTTCCTAGAATGTATCACTAGGGAATGTCAAGGGACTACTGTCATGTAGATCATAACACCGTGGTTGCAGAAAAATATTTTTGCCAAAGCAATAATCTTAAATAAATGCCAAGTAGTGAAACAATTTTTTTTCTTTAATGTGGAGAAACTAATAAGCTGCACAATACTAGGTGTAACTAACTGTGATAATCATTGCAGATACTGATACAGGAAATAACTTGTTCTGTTTTACGCTGAATACGCAGTGCGAGGCGGTCCGCAACAGTGGGCAGATGGAGAAGGAGGGCCTGATTAGGTCCCTGGACTTTGTCAAGGGGAAGGACCTCACGGTGCGGTCCCTGACGACAGACCGGCACCGTTTCATCGCCAAGCACATGCGAGAGCAGGAAGCAGCCATTCTGCACTACTTCCATATCTGGCATGTCTCGAAAAGTAAGAATCATATTGAGGGACTCAATGCCACTGTGTGCAAACGAACAAACAAACGAAACATACTGTTTGCCAACACACGAAAGAAAAGTATTGCTGACCGAGGCAATCTTTGGTTGTAATAGGTACGTAGAGGAGAGCAGGTGCACATTATTACAAATTTAGCACAAACACGACATCAGCATTTTTTTTATTTTGCTCTTACTTTGCCTTGACGTGCTTCAAATTTTATTGTTTATGTTAGGGTCCCGACACGGTTAAAAATCCCCATTAAGTTTCAATAAGAATTTCCCCATTGGTACCAGTTGGGTTTTGGGAAAACCAATTGCTCACTATCAATGGGAACCAACAAGAACCATTTGGAACCCATTCAGGTTCCAACTGGTAAAGTAATTCCAATTGTTGAGACCCGTGGGCCAGTGTGCTTCAAGTTGGAACCCACAAAAACCAATTGGTTCCAATTAAAACAATTTGCACTTCTAATTGGATCTAATGGAAATTCTTAGCTGGGTGAGCACTAGCTGGCTGCACCAGAAGGTTTGATGACACTGTGCATTATAAGACAACATCTTGAAAAAGTGGCTTTTGCTTGTTCATGCTAACCATGTTGCAGTGCGTATTTTTGTTGCCAGTAGCTAATGTTCTGTCACAAGAGCAGCTGCTAACAATATGTATCTGGCACGTCTATGAGCTGGGTTAGTTTGTTAGTGGCACAACGTCCCTATGTAAGCTTTCATTGTAGGCATAAACTTCGGTTGAAAGCACTTTATTTTTTTTTCGTCACATATGTGATCTTCTTTATAGTTTATTTTTACCTTCGCAAATTGTGAACTAAAATGTTTCCAAAATAGAGTTGAAACTCTGCCTTTTTCAGACTAATGATCACAGTGGTGCATTTTGCACTAACATTGCTTGTTTCCTGCGCAAAAAACATTCTGCAACATGAGAAGTATGAGTGACATTGCGCATTATTGTTTTTTGAGGGTCAGGTGCTTTGTAGGATGTTTTCGTGCAGACCAGGAGCTAGTAAACGGTAAATAAAGGGTGCAATTTTGCTTGCTTGTCAAATCGCAGGCGTCAAGAAGAGCTTGACTGCTGCGAGCAAAGGGAAGGACTGCGGTGTGCTCGCTCTGTGGTCGCAGCCAGCTGTGAACCACATGTATTGGGTTGCGGCTGCTAGCCAGGGCAACGGCGACCTTCTCGTGGACGCATGGGCAAGCATCACAAGGCATGTGACCGACATTCATGAAGGCCACCCGGGATTATACACAAGGTGCTTCCATGATCCCCTTGAGGAACGCGAATGGCTGGAGCCAGGTGAGTAGGCATTTCACATATTTTTAAAGGTCTTGTAAATTATTAGTAGAATTCCGTGTTTCCAGGCTTATTTCTTTATTTTCTGCGGTGGTGTTTTGTAGTTGGTGTTTCCTGGTGCACTTCCTGTGTCGGAAACAACAACATACTTGATAAGCATCATATATATCTTATCGCAATAAAGCGTTATGCAATACTCCTTGGCACTTCAAGAACCGCAGTAAAAAAAAGTTTGGCTCCTTGCAGAGGGTTACTAACTTCCCCCTTTATGTGATAGATTAAGATACTTGTACCTAGATTTAAGATCAGTTGTTATTTCTTCAAATTGTGCGTGTCTCAAATGTGAAACGCATCGTGGTCTGCTGCTACAACCCATTCTTGTCCAAACTACTTTGGGCAGTGCAAAAGTTATGTGCAAAACAACCTTTTACCTTGACCTAACGACAAATATAAGTATATCTCAAGACCTAAAACAGGTCATTCCAACATGGGTAAGAGAAGGAAACGGGACAAGGGGATATTGTTCCCGAAGAAAGAAGCGGCCTTATGGAGACAGTTCATTGCAGACTGTATTCCATGCAAGGATAAGATTAGGGTTAGGGGTCTTTCGATTTTACCAAATTCCAAGAACACCGCCTCAGAGGTTACTTTTGGAGGTTTATCGGTAGATACCAGGGGTGGCCAGGCTGACCCGGCCTAAGAGCTGCAAACAAAACTACGAACTTCAGGGAGCCGCGGATGGGGAGGGCCGGTCAAAAACAGTCCAACTGTACGTAAGGTAGCAGTAGCACAAAACTACCAAACTGCAACCTGTCTTTGGATTTAAAACGCATTTCAATTCTCTTTTTGGGGAAGTGCTCGTGTGACCTGGAGGGAGGCGGGGTAGGAGGGAGGGATGGGGGGTGGAGGAGAAGGAAGGAAGGAAGGGAGGGATCCGCGAGCCGCACTTCAACACGCAAAGAGTCGCATGCGGCTTGCAAGCCGCAGCTTGGCCACCTCTGGTACCCAAACCCGCTTATATCGAACCTGGTTATTTCAACCCGAACCCGATTATATCGAACCTGGTTAGTTCAAACTATACTTTGTATCAAAATATTTCTGCACAGACTAGTAGCTGCAATGAAAATGCACAGCGAAAAATGCGGTTACATTGAATGAAAATTGCAGCGTCTTCCGATAGATTGACCTGCTGAGAGCGTTGTTTTGCTTTGCAAGCTGGCTTTCACTCACTGCAGGCGGGCGCTTTGGGGAAAAGCCAGCTTGCAGAGCAAGCTGGCTTTTTTTCTTTTGAGCGGCTGCATCAACTGCCCGAAAACAAAAAGAAAAAAAATTCTCTTCTGTGGAGGGCGAGGGTGAACCAGTAAAGCCTTGAAAAACAAAGAAGCAGCCACTGAATAGCCGCTTGGCGCATCCCTCATGACGTACAGACGTGCCTTTGAGAGTACACAACTTTTCTAAATGTGGCATTCTTGTTTGTTGTCAAATTCATTAGAACTTTTATATCAAAATACCCGGTATATCAAATTGGTAGATGGTGTTTTGTTAACTCGATTTAAATGGGTTTGACTGTAATGCACACACACACAACCCCATTTGAAATTGCAAAAGAAAATTAGCTTCAATAAATAACATACAGTTTACCAACCTTTGAATGTTAACTTACCAAATCTTAGTCTTTACTGTTTTCTGATGCGAATTCTGATCCTGTTTTTCGTTGTTTTAGGCACACCTGCTCATGCAAGGTTCCAGGATGTTACGACGAGGAAGCAGCTGCTGAACGACCTGCGGCAGCTCTCCCCAGACACGCAGACATATGCGCTGGAATCATTTCATAGCGTGTTGAACGGCTTTGCAGCCAAGGCGTTCGCCTTCAGTACAGGAGGCATGCATGCTTGCCAGGTATGTAGCTATTGAAAAGATCAAGAAAGAAACCCTTCAGTTGCCTACCATTTGAGGATAAAATATTAGCCTCCCTCTAGTATTTTTTGTATGTTTTCTGATTTGTGTGTTTTATGACAGTGTCATCATGATGCTGTATTCTGGTGACTTCATCTTTTCATTTTGACATCCTAATGACAACTGCAGCAGCGACTGTATTGCAGCAGGAGGGGTAGATTTGCCATATATGGGACTCCACATACAGTTGCCAATACATAGATTCACATTATGAAGCTGGTGAACCTTGAGGCCAGGGAACACCTGAGAATGTAATGATAGTAGACTTGCTTAGGCAGCTAGAAGCACAAGATACACATTGCTTTGCCACATTCCCTTTTTGTGTAGGACACGTCTGGCAGCCCTGCACTTTAATGAGAACAGTGACAGGGAGCAGGCCACAACCCAAGCAGGGGACTTGCAGTGGAAATTCAGGTCTCCCAAGGCCAGGAAAGGGCACCATGACGTCAATCCCAGGCTGACACCAACCACATATGGTAATCTAAGAAGAATTGTACCCCATGGTGCTCCATAATGTATTCCAGTGTTATTATTAGTGAGGGGTAGAAGCTAGAACCACTAAATGAGCTACGCTTTGAGTATCGGCACTCCGTTCCGCGATCTGCTAGTGGGTGTCGCCCTCTTGCCGCTTATTGCAGAGCAGACGCAGCTATTGATCATCACAATTCACAAATGTAAGTTCCTTCACTTTAGATACAGTATTAGGAAGCTCATGTGATATTGTTTTGCTCTGTCATGGACTGTTGTAACATTTCTGAGAGATAAGGAAACGTTTCCTTCGATTACAGCTACAGCTTTAGATACCATATTTACTCGCATAATGAACACACTCGAATAATGGTACCCCACAACAAGTATCAATATTTGGATTTTTTTTTTTTTTTTTGCGTAATGAATACACTTCCAATTTGCGGCTCCGCGAGTCTCGAATTGCGTCCAACTTGGCTAGCCACCAAGCCCACCAAGCCAATTTTCTTTTGCCGCTAAGCGGCCAGGCTAAGTCAAGCAAAGCCGCTTTCATAATTGCTGCAAGTGCGTAGTTGCGGAAGTGATCAGTCATCAAACCGAGCAGCATGCACACTTGACGAAGCTTGGAACATTCTTCGCCTGTCAGATGCATTGATGTCAACAATCACGCCATCGTCTGCGGTCCGCTTTCGAACAGTGAAATTGTGAAAGTGGTTAGGCCTAAGAACGGTCGCTTTGCTGTCCGTGCTGAGCAAGCTTTGTAGGGTGATTTTCATTTGGCAAAAGGCATGCTGAAAGCGCCCTGAAAAAGTTAGCAATTTATAAAGCATAATTACTGTGGCGCGCCTCCAACCAGTCATGGGTGCGCCTCACATCACTGGAGACGTGCCACAGTACCTTGTCGTGTCATATTGGCACCTAATACGACATTTACATGATGTGTGTAAATGTAAAAATTTTACCGCGCGTAATGAATGTTGCACCTCCCAGATATGTGTCAATTTTTGGGGGGAAAAAGGGTGTTCATTGTGCGAGTAA